ATCCTTATTTGTTTTTTTTTTGATCCCTTATTTTTTGTTTTTTTGATCCTTATTTGTTTTTGTTTTGATCCTCTAGCCTACCCTCTGGTTATTTAACATAGCCATGGAAAATCACCATGTTTAATAGGTAAATCATCTATAATAGGCCATGGCTTCCATGGCTATGTTAAATAACCGGAGGCTATTCCAAATAGCCATGGCCACAGCCATTTTGCTGCTAAACTCCCATCAAAATCATCTGTTTCTTTCTCTTTGGCAAGATTGTGATAAACATATAACACCACCCAAAAATAAGATGCAGAAAAGTTAGAGACCCTCTATATAGACATTTAAGATAGCTGTGGAAAACGGTCAATTTCCATAGCTATGTTAAATTATTAGAGGGTAAATCCCTATCAAATCCCCCATTAAATCCCCTTAAGTCATCATCAAATCACCATAAGCCCTAGTTCAACCCCCATTGAATCCCACTAAAAAGGCAATTCATACGCTTAACTTAAATCCCAGAATGTATATACTGGAATATTGATGCATGTTCAAGAGTAGCCACATGAATTAAAATTTAACCATCAAGACTCAGTAACCAACTCTTTAAACATTGTGATTTACCATGATATCATCTGGTAATCAAACTTGCAATGCGTCATTTATTTCGATCTTTTTGAATGCCATTTCTGTTCGGAGATTTCACAAGCCATGTTTCAGGACACCGTTGGGCCCATTAAATCCCTAAGAATTCCCTATGGAATCCCTATGACATCTGAAATCAGGTGTTGCGACGGTCAAGGCCTGGCAGAAGCGCTTGGAGGAGGCCGAAGCGGAGGCGCTCACAGCGCGAAGCGAGTTGCGCCAAGTGGCGCGACGGCAGGGCGCCAGGGCGCCAGGGCGCCAGGGAAGAGGGTCACTAGGGAGCTATAAATGGGAGAATCCACTCAGGGTTTGATGGGATTTAATGGATTTAAATGAGATTTCATTGGGATTTCATAGGGTTTAATGGGATTTCATAGGGATTTCATAGGGATTTATACAATGGGATTTCATAGGGATTTATACAATGGGATTTCATAGGGATTTCATAAGGATTTCATAGGGATTTCATGGGATTTAATGAGTTTAATGATTAAATGAGTTTAATTAATGGGATTTCCTGTGGGGCGTTTATGGGAAATCCATTACAAATGGAAGGTTACATCCATAAATGAAGGATTTGATGGGGATTTAATGGGAGCTTGATAAGGATTTGATAGGGATTTAATCGTTGACTCCGCACCTAGGCCTCGGAGATGCAGGAACAGCTCTGGCTGCAAAGCTCTCGCAGGGTGCAGGAGCTATTGGATGAGCCACTTTGGCCGTGAGATGTGTTCAGGAATAGGGAAAGGCAATGTTTTTTTTTTTTTTTAAGTTGGGAAAAATGATGAAGAACTGGGGAGTTTCATCAGCAACATTGGGATACCAATACTCATGGGGCGATCAGTCAACAATGTGTGGGAGCCGGGGGATCCTTGGCCAGAAATGCCCTTTTCCCATGATCCAATCCTCAAGCGCCAGCGTTAGGTCAGCGAAGCTGGAGGAGGAGACACGGACGTAGCTCGCCCATGTAGATCCCACGAGTTTGAGTGGGGCGAATAAAGGTTGATACTGTAGTGGTTAATATGGGTTAATATGGTTAATATATGTTAATATGGGTTAATATGGTTAATATTGGTTAATATGGGTTAATGTGGGTTATATCATTTAATATCATATAATATCATATGATATAACAATTATGTAAGAAGTCTTGATGGTTGATATTTTTTTAGTTGATGGCTTTGATGGTTAATGATGGTGAATGATGGCTACTAGTTGGTTCACACACAGCGCGGTGGTCTTAAACAAGGCACTGGCAAGTCCCCGATAGATTGGAGGTTTTTTTTTTCTGGGGAATCAACTGGAAATGGGATATTTTCCATTGCCACGATTACAGGAGGGTAGTCATGATTATCCTCCGGTTTTGTCAAACATGGTTGATAATGGCCGATAATCGTTGATAACGGCTTGATAATGGGTTAATGATGGGCAATAATGTAATGGTTGATCATGGTTAATGATGGTTAAGACTGGTCAATGATGGTCAATTATGGCTAATGATTGTCAATGATGGTTAAGAATGGTTGATAGTGGCTTACTCATGGGTAAATAATTGTCAATAATAGCCATAATTATCACCTATTATCACCTGGTGTCTGGAACATACTCGAAATTGGAGACCAGGCGGAATCGGTCACCCACTAGAAGAGTCAGACCACAGCTGGTTTTAGGAGAGGTTAGGTTTAAGGTTTCTGCAGGGATACCTGATGGTTTGTTTTAGGATCTATTTAGGATTGACTTAGTGTTGGTTTGGAGTTTATTTAGGCTTGGATTAGGTTTTTTAAGGGTTGGTTTAGGGTAATGATGGGTTTCGTCAGGATTTGTTTTAAGGTTGGTTTAGGGTTTATTTAGGGTTGATTTAGGCTTGCTT